ATGATAATTCACAGTAGCACTCCTGAATATTGTATAGAAGTGATGGTTGTAATAACTTGTGTATTAATTCATCAGTGGGTCCAACCAACACTACCTCCAGTCTCTTACACTGGGTCTGTAGTGAGTTATTGGTTAGTCCAGCAGTGAAGACTGATAGTGACTGGTTAGATACAAGCCCCAGGTGCAAGTGATTCCATGTTGTGTTGGAATTGTTTATACAATAACTGAGACACAACCTGTCAAACAATGATAATGATACTCTATCCAGACACAGTGAGTGGTTGTTGATGGATTGTGCTAATACTTGACATAATGTTGTGTTCTGTGATTCATACAGGAGTTGAAGAAGAAGAATGGGAACATTGTCAAAATCATCAGATCTGATATGATTAGTGTCCAGTGCATCAAGCTTTATTCTAATCTCAGGATTCTGATAGAAGTAGGAGAGATGACAAGTCTCTAATCCAAACAATGGTTCCCTCTTACACTCTAAGTCAAGTTGTTGTTTATTAAAATACTGTTGATAGCTCTCATGTTCAAGGTGAGTTAGACCTGCTACAAACCTTAGACACATTCGAAAGTGATCATCATCAAAGTGATCCTTAAACACTTCCTCTCTCTTCTTCTCATGCTTAGCTATCCACCATGCACCTAGAAATTCCTGTATACTCAAGTGAAGGAACTGATACTTCTCCTCATCATATTCTGTGAATCTTGTCATCAATCCAAGATAGTCTTCCTTCACTGCCTCACTCAGTGACTGTAGTTGATGTGAAGGGAATGTCATTCTTGTATTAGCCAGGTTAGTATAAGCTAATTGACACATCTCTTGTAAAGGTTTAGCTAATTGTGATGGTAATGAAGAAAGACTACCTAAAGTATGTGGGTTAATGTCATGTCTTTTAACATGTCTTCTGATAGTTTGTAGGATAAAGTTCTCATAGAGTTGAGTGAGTGTTGTTGGTAAGTGTCCTCCTTCCTTACAATAAACTAAAATGACCATGGAACAGACTAGTGGTACATAACACAATGATTGGACATCATTTCGTACTTTAAGATCATTAATGAGTTTCACTGCTAGTTGTGAGTCCTTACTGCTTTGAGTAGTTGTGAAGTGTGATTTGTATTTTGCATAGAGTTTCATCCATTCATCTTGTTCAGTGTTTTCATCGATGAGTTCTTGTGCTAGTTTTATATCTTTTTGAAGTGTTTGTATAATTACTGTTGATATTTCTTCCTTAGAAAACCCAATGACCTGAACATGTCTACTGAGAGTATGCATTTTCAAAAGTGAAGAGGAGGCATAGCTACGAGAGGTAACAATTACTGAACATTGGTCTAACTTCTCTTTACAAATGATACTAGCAGCTAATGAAGACTGTCTGAGTTGTTCACTTAGTTCATCCCAACCATCAAACATTATCAGTAATCCTTCTCCGTCCCTCTCCTCAAACCATTCAGGTACATTTTTATATCTTTTAAGTTGACGCACAAACAGGTCAGCTAGTGTAGTAGCTGTAGCTATCTTGCTATTCCTTAAAGGACAGTAAAGTACCAAGTCATACTGTTGGTGTACAAGTGCTCCATTAGACCACATATTTAACAGTTTACGACAGAGTGTGGTCTTCCCAATACCAGGAGGACCGTCTATTACTACTCTGAGAGACAGAGAACTATCTGTGGGTTGGAGGACATCTTCAACACTTATCTCTTTGTTTTCAGTTAGTTTAACTGTTTTATCAACTTGTCCTCTTAGCAGATGCCAAGCTGATTCTGCTTGTGTGCTGGAGTCTTGTTTTTCTACTAGTGCTAGTCTTCCAAAGAAATCTTTTCCAATTCTTGGTGGCCAGTCTGTAGCAACAATAGGTTGGTGTTTGTAGTGTTGTCTCATATTGTCAGCATATCCTTGAACATCATCAGGTATTGAACTAATGGATGTGACATTATCAGGTATAGACTGACCTAATGTATTGAGATATAATGACTATATTCATCACTGATAATGTACACACACACACTCACCTAACTGGTGTAATATAGAGGTAGCAATATCTGTTAGTGTACGATGTTGTTGGTTTATTAATAAACGACACATTTCAGTTAGGTACTGCTCTGGATTAAGAGAGCAGCACAGTTGCCTATGTATAATATTTATTAATTTCATTGTTTTGACATTTTCTGGTATTCCAGTTACAAGTACTTCCTCTTTAGAATCCAGTGGTATCAGTCCTTCAGCATACAGTGCATCAGTTACTCTGTAAAGGTTAGTAGTAATAGCATCAGTGAGTTTAACAGAATGAGTCCTTAATACATCCTTTGGCTTACCTGCAGTATTGTATCAGTTAATGAGTCTTGTATTAAGTGTATGTTTACCTGTTATAGGACCAGGATTAGCATTACTGGTACTGACTTCCATATCATCATTAGTACTTCTTCCAGCTGTGGGATCTGTCACTTTGTCTTCAATAGTTCTAGCTAGTTCATTCTCTTTACATTGTTTCAAAGCATTAATGACATCTCTCCATGTTGCTGTAGGATCTGTATTCAACCATTTTGTAAATAAAGCTAATTTTTGATGTTCAGTTTCCACTTGTTCCATTATTGTAATATCTTGCTGTGTTATTCCAGGTAAGAGAAGACCAAATGATTGCCAGTCAACAAGTGGTTCAAGCCATTGAAGTAATAGGAAAATATCAGGTTGATCATCAATCATAGGACCAGGATTGAGTTCAACATCTCCTGATAAGAGGAGGAGCATACGTAGACAAACAATCAAATAGAGATCATTGTAAATCAGGTTAGAACTCCTGCCTCCAGCTAACACTACTGACTGGAGGTAATTTGTATCAGTAACAGTAACACCAGTAGTACATTGTACTTGGTAGCAGTTACCTAATAATAAAATACCAGTAAATATACAAGTACAAAGTTCCAATTGTTGTTTACCTGTTGGAGGAATCATCAAGATGTGTCTTAATAAAGAGAGAGAGAGAAAGAGGAGGAGGAGTAAAGCAATAAGAGACAGAGCTGCTGGCAGTTTAGATGTCTTCTCTCCTGATGTAGTACTGCCTGACTTGCTGTCTACTGCAGCTTTGAATGAGTG